CAAGCTCTGAGGAAGAGTTTGGAACCCCGTTGAGCATGCGCAGTATGAAATGACAGTGTCGAGAGCCAATCTCGTCCCCAGTTCCTCGATGCTGATCAGGAGTAACGCAGGCTCTGATGACGAGATTGGAACCCAGAACCATGCCATTCTTACTGTACATACTCTGGCATTTTTAGGGTTGAGACTGTTTCAAGACTAATATCTTTCTTGCTTTATACTCAGTGGGTGAAAGAAATAAAAGAGGAATGTCCTGGTGTCCCGTATCTGTTGGTTGGCTGTAAAAACGACCTCAGAACAGACTCAGCTTTACAGTTTTACTTAACGGTACCTGGCGACAGCTCCAGCGAACCTGACAGCATTTCAAGAATAAAAGTAAGTCTTCGTATCGTGTATTAGGAGGATATAATTGTTAACTAGAAGGGAGCTTATTACGCATGCGTTTCACATGCCACTTAACTATGGGCTTCCATTATTTTGCCATACTGGCTCTGATCTATCATATTCCCAAATCAGGAGCCCATTACTAGGAGCATCCATGTCCCATACTAGCTGGCTCAAGATACTCAAGATAGATCCATTTCTAGCCATTTCTAGGAGCATATTTACATTAATACCAGCAATCTCAATCTACACTGGATATCTCGTGTCGTCAAATGATTATATTTTTCTGTCATTTACCAGGCGATCTCCACAGCACAAAGCATAGGAGCAAAAGATTACGTCGAATGCTGCGCCAAGACACGATGGAACATTAAGGAAGTGTTCAAAGGAGCAGCCGATGCAATTCTCTGTAAAGAAGAAAACACAGAAGTCGTCAAACCTCAGTCAATGCTACGGAGATTTTCTCGGTTTGCTCGACGAAGTTCAGCAGCTGATGCCACAGCTAATGACTGTAACAGTGTTGCATTGTCGTTCGCTAGCGGTCCTCGGAGGCTATCGCTTTTCTCGACAGGTTGATACTTTCGTATTTATATCAAGACCTTCATATCATGGAATCGCGAGATTCTTCGTTCATGTTCATCTAAAACGACCTACGCTTGGCAGAATCTGTTCCAGTCTCGTTCTCGAGTCACGTTTTCCTGCCAAAAATTCGAACTTCGAGCGCGCGTATGACCTTTTTAAGATGTGACGTATTTCCGGTTCCAACTGTGCTCACAAAATTGAAAGCCAAATAATAAAATAAAGCAAAAAATGATCGCGCAAATTAAAACTCCATCTGAAACAATTAGTACTTTGAACAAAATATCCTGTTATCAGTTTTAAAAAAAAAAATCTTTATAGAACGGGCATGCTTTTCGTTTTGGACTTGGAGGACGTTTTTCCATACGAATGACGTCACTAAAAGCTATCAGGAAAGAAGAACAAAAGCAGTTTAACAAATGGCGAATTATATATTTCCAAACAAATACATATTTACAAATATCAAAGTATCAAAAAGTGCCCTCGAATGTAAATAGTTTTTGAAACCAAAATGAAACTAAATATTACGATCGTGTCGTCATTGCCTGACACGTGACCACAGGAAACCCAACTAGATGTAAATAGCAAACGACCACCGAAATTATTTATGACTTTCAACCTGCTAAACAAAACCTAAAATGTATGATTCAGCGTATGATTCAGTTTATTAACGGTTTTTAACATTTCAAATTTGGGCTTCCTGTGTCAGGTAAACTAAGGATTTGGAGTAAGTTAGTGACACAGATTATGATACAGATTTATTGTATGTATAGGGTAAGAATACAGTATTTTATTAATAAAAGATGTTATTTGAACGGTTTATAATAAAAAGTAAACGAAATTATAATTCAATTTTATCACTGCTAAAGTGGACATGGTATCTTTGCTCGTTTTCTCTCATAGTTTTTTAAACTTCAATTTACTTTACTTCTGTACTGATACAAACATTTTTAGGAAGGCCTTGTAGTACAGTTTCTTTTTTCCGTCTTAATTACACAAATGCTCTGCTCTCTTTTCTTTTTTCAACGTACAGCGTACCTAGGCCTGGGGGGAGGGGGGTGGAATGAGGCAGTGTGGTCCCCGACTTTTTAACACTTTGTTCAACGCTAAGAGCTATAAGACCCCACTTTTCCGGTTGATAATTTGGCCAGGCTCAACCACACTACTTTTAAATCCACTCTGCCGCTATGTTCAGTCATTTTACTGACGCACAACAGGCAGAATACCGGGGTTATTTGAACTTCACCTTGCAGGGTATGGACTTGCCGTTGCTCCCTTGCTGTGACTATGGTCACTGTGGGGGAAATAGGCGGTCTATTATTCTAAGCATCGAAAGGATGCCGCTTAAACTCCCGAAAAGAAACAAAAATTAGTTACTCCGTCATCCCATAGGTCATCTTTTGCATCAAATCGGTCACGTGCTGATATAACACTTTGATAGGACGTGATAGGGCTTTGAATTTGCTGGATGGCAATTACAGTCCACAGTAAACGAACATAACTATTCATTCAACAGTCCCTCTCCTTTTTCAGTATCTTTTGTACGTCCCTTCTCTCCTTCTTCTTCTGTTTTTATTTTTTCGGTTTTCTTTTCTCGCGGCATGATAAATACATTTGTCAAAAGGCTACAAATTTCCGTTTAACCTTTGTCATTTTTGCACTATGCTGTATATTTGGAACGTTTTCCATTTTTTTCTTTATATATTTATAGTCATTTAACTCCTTCCTTCTTTCCTTCCCTCCTTTCGTTTCTTATTCAACTCATTGTTTTACGGTTTTCCTACTCAAATTTATTGTATCAAGCTCCCGCCCCCCCTCCCCCCTCCTTCCGGGCTCATTGTGTTCACGTGATAGCCTCATGCCAGCATGCGGTCGGTCAGAGCCTGGTCTCAGTTGCCATGACTACGAGTCCAAATTCCGCCTTCGGTCGATAAGAACAACACAAACGAACCAACATGGCGGAGAAGCAGAGAATTTCCATCCTTGGTCTCCTAAAAGAAGTGGATTTTCACATGGTTAAAGGCGCAGCACAGGTACCGAAATTGGATAAAAACCTCTCTTATCGTTTCTCTTTTATTTTACTCCTCGTAATCTTTTTTTTTTTGGCTTAAAAACTATTTTTGCTTACGTTACAGCAACTACACCAGAAAGAACCCAATGTCTTTTTTGAGCCAAAAGCCGTGGGTTTTTTAGAATGCGACTGGATTTCCTTCATTCAGGCCAAGAAAAAGGTATCTCTTACTCGTTTTACAATCCTTAGCTATGCTATAAATCATTACAGTCTTAAAATTATTATTCTAGCAAAGAAAAAATAAATAAAAGGGTGACATTCGTTGGAATAAAAACAATTCTACCAGGGCTATATAGAATTCCATACAGAAAAAAATATTAACCTTACATGAACTTAGGATCCAGGGTGTCATATTCTTTAATTTCTTGCCTTTTCAACTTGTTATAATTTTTACTTCACGAAGTTTTGAAATTCCATATAAAAAAAAAATTAGTCAAGAATTATTTATTTGGCTTTACTTTGAATTTAAATTAAGCTAAAAAGATTGTGGTTTTATGTAGAAACAAAAACAACAACATATCATTGATATCTATAAACATGGACAAATAAAATAACTAAGTTGTTAACTGTATTCTATTTAAATATTGGATGCTTATTTCCAGACGTCTATAACTGATATTTAATAATTTGAATAATGATTTTCTTATGGTTCTAATTCTTACATACAATAGAATCAATGAAATATAAAAGTGCCTATCATGTTTAATTTCTTTGTTCATGATAACTCTAGACACAGCATGGTATCCAATTTTTGGCTCACAACCGTAAATTAGATAATTGTAAATATCATATAGGGGTTGTTTTAAGGGTTGGAAACATGGGATAAGATTTTTATTGGTTTTATAGGGTTCTAGATAGGTGTCCCCAATTAGTTTATTTAAATAAGCTAGAACGACATGACACAGTAATAAAGTTTATTATTATTATTATTATTATACATTACACGTACTATAATCAGATTTAATAATTTTGATTCTAAAAGGTAAACCCCTAGAACTTTTGATGTCATCTTGACATATATTTAGGGGTTCACTGGTAAGGATAAAGGATCATGACATTTATCTCTCTTGCAAAACAAACTGATAAGATACTTATTGTGCTTGCATCAAGCTGACCACAAAATGTGTGTCAATATAAATATTCCTGGATTTGCTCAAGTGACCACAAAACCACACAGCTTCAAGTGAAGCTTTGGATTTAATGTTTTCATATATTTCTTGTATTAGTTCAACCTGGACTTCAAGTCATTGTTTGGTGGTCACTCAAGTAAAAATTCTGGAATGTTTATTTTGGGAGTGTAAATCAATACGAGTGGATTCTTTATGTAAATAAAAGGTACCCCACTGTGATGATATAGAATTCATAACATCCTTTGAATTGATCATGCTTGTCCAACCACACAGCACATTTAGCACCTAACATCATCACAGCACTATGAGTTTTTCCATATACAGTTGACTCTCTTTGAACAACCACTCTCGTAAGTGACCATCTCCTGTAAGCGATCACCTTTTGAAATTCACGTTTTGTTCCCCATATAAACTCTGTAAAAAAACTCTCTCATAAGCGACCACTCTCGTAAGCGACCGCGACCACCTTYKGGGTTAAAATTTTGGAATTTTTTCATTGTTTTTCCTCTCCCGTAAGCGACCACCCAAGAGCCAGTAATGGTGACAGATCCTTTAACAATAAAAAATTTAAGAACATAGAGTTTAATCATTAATTTAAACAGTTAAATCGTTAGTTTTAACATGTGTAGTTATAAATGGTTTAGGCTTCCTGTGTTGGGATTCCCATTGTTTGGGCTTCCAGTGTTAACTCTCTAGTAAGCGACCATCTCCCGTAAGTGACCACTTTCTCCTGGCCCCGGGTTGGTCACTTACGGGAGAGTCGACTGTATATGATAGACCACTTGTAGCACATTGAAATGCAGCTTATTTTGGAGGACAACAATAGGTATGCAATTGTCATCTCATTGAATTTGTTTTGTTATATCCTTGAAATGGAGCTGCTTTGACGTCACATGCAAGAGGTCTATAAATAGCTTTAGATTTAAATGCAAGCACTAATATGACAACGAGATTTGTGACTAAAAAACTTTCACTACAAATTGTTGTCATCCTCTGTTTGGCACAACAGCACTATTGCAAAGAAGCTACTACCCCATTCACACCTAAAACGTGTTTAGTTAAACTGTGTTTTCATTAGGAAAAAAATAGAGAAAATCTGGAAACCTACAATATAATGAAACTTTCTAAAATATTGTCAGAGCAAGACAAAGGATAGTTTACATGCGTTATTTCACCAAATATTGTGCAGCGTTCATAGATAGTTTTCCAAACCCTGTTAGTTATGTAAACCACTTTTAAACATGTTTAAGCTTTGGTGTGAATGGGGTATACGAGTTTGTAGTAGATTACTTTAAAAAGGAATAATCAAGTAAATCTAAAGCTCCCCAAAATCTCCTTTAATGCATATTTTGTTATAAGGGAAGGCACTTGGAGGGGGAGGGAGAGGGGGAGGGTTAGGGTCATCAGTAAACATGTCAACTTTTGTGTAGGGTCAAACCTTTTATATTTTGATAAAATCTGTTTCTTTGTTGACTTAATAAAAGGGTCATAAATTTTCTTACAGTGTAAAAGGGGGAGGGCTGTGACCATTTTGTAGAATGTTCCAGTCATCCACCCTCCCCTCCCCCCCCCATAAAAATGTACCTTCCCTAATATCTAAATAATTTCTGTTCAAGGAGTTGAAAGGAGAAGTATGGGGATTTGATGATAATGTCATTATATTCATTAATGAAGAGGTTGTTGGTGGTAAAGATGAGTTTTTAAAGTGGGCGAATGACAACTATAACTATCAAGACTTCAGGTGAGCATGACTTGTTACAGTATTGTATTATGAAAGGAGAATGGTTCGTAACAAGGGGTGGGGATGGTCTGAGGAGGGTATATTTTGTAGTTTCAGTAAAATGTCCATACTTTCACAACAGAGAGGGATCGTAATTTCCAAGGGGTGGGGAGGGTCTGAGAAGCGTACATTGTGTAGTTCTAGAAAATATCCATACCTCCCCAACAGAGGGCAATTGTAATTTCCAAGGGGTGGAAAGGGTCTGAAGAGGGTATATTGTGTAGTTCCATAAAATATCCATACCTCCCCAACAGAGGGGGATTGGAATTTCCAAGGGGCGGAGAGGGTCTGAGGAGGGTATATTGTGTAGTTCCATAAAATATCCATACCTCCCCCACAGAGGGGGATTAGAATTTTCAAAGGGGCAGGGAGGGTCTGAGGAGGATATATTGTGTAGTTCCAGAAAATATTCATAACTCCAGCTCAATTGTCTTTACCATATTTCCTCTATTAAGTCACCAGCTTTTAATAAGACTCCCTTCTAATAAGCCCCCAGTCCAAAAGGACTGTAAAAGAATAAGTCCTCGGGGGGGAAAATACAGTAAATATTGAATAAATACACTATAAATAAACACATTACCAACAAAAAACCGGGGGGGGGGGGGGGGGGGGGGGGGGTGTGATTAATAGAGAAAATACTGTGTATTAAATCATAATAATTAATATAAATATCCATAATTAATATAAACATCTTTAGGCCTCTACCTCTGTGGTATGCTATGGCAAAAGAATCATACAAGAATCACCTAATAGATACTAAGGTAAGCTTCACAGGACATTCTACAAAGAAAAGCAGATATAGGGAACAATGATCTGATTGAAGAGCTTTTAATAGGCCCTTTGCAGCTCAATAAAATCACATGCTGATTAATTCACTGAGAGCAAATGAATGAACATGGTGAAATATAATGTCGAGCTACCAAACTTTCTACAATCTGTTTCGAGAGATCCTAATAAAGCTGCATTTCGTAACACACTGGATACACATCTTTTCATTCAGTTCTTTACAAGTAGCTAAAAAGAATCACCAATTTAAAATAAATTGGTGGTTAAAAAATTTAAAATAAAAAATTTTGCTTACCAGTACATACATGTGATTGTAACTGCAAAGGGCCTATTTCTGACAGTTTTTTGATTAGATACCCAGCCCAAAAGCTGTAAAGCATTATGGTAATGCAAAATTAGAGAATAGACCTCTTGCACTGGTGGTGTAGCAGCGAGAGCTCTCACTTCTCACCAATGCAACTCGAGTTTGAGTCCGCTGAGCTCGGGGTTGTATGTGAGTAGAGTTGATTGTTAGTTCTCTCCTGTGCTTGGAGGGTTTTTCTCCAGGTTCTCCAGTTTTACTCCCTCTTTAAAAATCAACTTCTAAATTCCTTTTGAAATCCAGTGGAAAAAAAGGTAAAGCACCTATATTTAACGTCGGTAGTTCCTTCAGTTGAAATTCAACTGCTATCAATGGAAGCCGACGGTGCGCACTTTACCCCCTCTCKCCATCAGTGCTCTGTTTTAAGAGTATTTAAAGCTGAAGCTACACGGATTAGAGAGAAGTCGAAACAGACGTGGAGATCCTAAGGATTGAACCGTGGACCTCAAGATCTGACGGCCGCGCACTAACCAACTGAACTATGCCTGCTCCTAGAAGAGCCACTCTATGGAATCCACTGTTTATTCCCATTATTTATTTTGTCATTTATTTACTTATTTCTAATCTGGGTGTCAAAACAAGGGGATACCCTTCCTTTTAGCATTWATTTTTTTTTCTTTGATTTTATATTCATTGTCGTTACCCCAGGTAGGGATTTAGTGTAAGGGATTTACAACAAACAGCCAAGATTTCTCATTGTCTTGAACCTGATCGCCATTATGACCTTTTTTTCTAATAATGCTGTTGTTGTTTTAGCATGAATTTGTTTATATGGATATAGCTGTTGGAGACGAGAAAATAGGAAAACTTATAATAGAGGTAAGGAAATATCAAATTTCCATCCATTTTTTCCTTTGCTTTCCCTCTTTTTTATTTTTTCATTTGTTATTTTCTACATGTAATATAGGTAAAATATTAATAAATATCCATCTATCTTTTCATTTTCCCTTCCCTACTTTTTATGTTTTCGTTCCCTATCATTTCTTCATTCATTCATTATTTATTTTTCACAGCTAATGTCTGATAGATTACCCAAAACATGTAAAAATTTCATAAGCTTAATAAAAGGGAACTTGGTTGAAGAAGAAAGACATGATCCTCCATTAAAACTCAGCTACAAGAACAGTATTATTCACCGTATTGTTCCTAATGGCTGGATACAGGGTGGAGGTGAGTATAAGGATGTGTTTTTCCCCTCCCCTCAAGCCCACTCTAACTAATTCAAACTGTATCAAATTGAGCTGATCCTCGCAGCATGTATCAAGCAACTTATGCAGCTGCAAATTGAAAGACCCATTAAATATTCTGAGCCTTGAACAGGATTTGAACCTGTGTCCTGGCGACTCCGGTGCCATGCTCTAACCACTGATAATTCAAACTGGTTATAGCTGTGGTCCAGGGTCATACATAAACTGTATAGCGGCTGGCAGAGGCACCTTGCCATTGCTTTCGGCTCGACCCCATTCAGCTGCCTACTTCTGTGGCGAACAGAAGTTTGCCCTTGGGGATGGGGATACTTTTTAGTTGAGATACCTCTTACGTTCTTTAGAAAACAATCCCTTATCAAGAGAGATGGGATGGGGAAATATTCTTAAACCTTACGTGTGCTGCCAGTCATCTTGGGTCTTAAGGACCTGGGTGATTACGACACTCCCGGAAGATGAATGACATACTAAAGCATTCTTTTACTTTTTCTTGAATCTTGGTAGATATTGAAGGAGGGAGAGGGGTAGGCGGGGAATCAATATATGGGGCTGTATTTGAGGGTAAGTTTGTCTTCACTGTATACAAAAAATTTGAAAATGAATGTATATTTGTAATAATTAGAACTATTTGGTCAGCAAAAATATGAACTTATAAGCACACATGTATTCATGATTCATCATGGCTTTAATCATCTACCTGGTTCAGTAGCACAGTATTCTTACCATAAAATGTTTCGCACTCATGTTATTCAACTCATGCTTGATTGTGTTGATAACATTTTGATACAAATTTTAATTTTTTATTGGTGAGGTATTTTCACCGATTACACACTTGCTAACCAATCTGCATCTCACGACATTACTGGCTAGGTCATGACTAAGGATATTTCTATTCAGATTAGACTTTAAGCAGTGCAGTATCTTTAATTTTTTATTGGTGAGGTATTTTTACTGATTACACACGTGCTAACCAATCTGCATCTCACGACATTTTTTTGGCTAGGTCATGATTGAAGATATTTCTATAATAGAAATATCCTCAATCAGATTAGACTTCAAGTAGTGCAGTATCTTTACAGTTTGCACATTCTTACACAACAATCAGCAACTGCACATGCTTATACAACACTCTGCCTCTAATGCCAGTAAAGGCTAATGCCAGTGATGGCTCGTTTTTGATATTATTTCTGTTGCGCATGCTTAAAGGATACTCTGCATGTCACTTTGCAGCTGGCTCATAATGTATTTGGTGATATCACTGTCACACAACACTTTGCATGTCCTGTCACGGCTGGCCCATGTTCTGTGATAGCTATGTTGCACAACACTCCACATGTCACGTCACAGCTGGCCCATGTTCAGTGATAACTCTGTCACACAACACTCCACATGTCATGTCAGCTGGCTCATGTTCTGTGATAGCTCTGTTACACAACACTACACATGTCATGTCAGCTGGCTCATGTTCGGTGATAGCTCTGTCACACAACACTCCACATGTCATGTCACAGCTGGCTCATGCTCGGTGATATTTCTATTCAGATGAGGATTTTTCAGTAGCACACAACAAGCGTGGTATTTTAGGCATGGCCAATAAGGGTCGACATACGAATGGTTCTCAGTTCTACATAACCTTACAGCCTGCACCTTGGATGGACACTAAATATGTTGCTCTTGGGTGAGTATTAAAGTATATATCAGGGAAATTTTTTTCTTTCAAAATCCCTTATATGTGAATAGTGTAGTAGTATGGTATCAGTATTTTTGAATGTAAAACTTTCTTTTAGGAGATATAAACATTTGAAATATCAATATGCAAATGAGATGACATAAATTCAAGACTAATTTATTATACAAAAATGCTGTTGTGGAAAGTACTGCTTTTTTTCCATTTGCAAATTATCCTCCTAACTGAAATATATAGCTTTGTACAATTTTTGCAGCTTATTACTTGTTGACCATRAGTGTATTGTACTCAGGAAAACATAGGTAACCTTTTATGATTTATAGATTGGGGGGCTATGTAAATTTTGAGCTTGAAAGCAATGTCTCCTTGGTAGCACCCCTATTTAGGAACGTAATATTTATTTGTGCCCCCACCCCCCAAGCCACACAATCCACCCCCCTGGATCTGCCCTTGAACATGTTGTTGTGGGGCAAAACAAAAAGTATTATCTCTTTTGGAAAATCAAATCAGCCAGCTGTTCAACTACCCAATAGCGAACATGACTTTGCCTTAGACTTTAGGTACTGTAATGCTATCAAACAATATTAATAAACCCTTTACCTTGGTTTGTATTTTCAGACAAGTCATTGAGGGCTTACAAGTCTTAGATATCCTGGAAGAACAGGACACTTTCAATGAAAGACCCAAGAAAACATGCCAAATAACTGATTGTGGCATCTTTGATGTCCATGAACTATGGACATAAGATCTTATGGACCACAAGCTGGTYGTCTCTTGGACGATTTTGTATTTTTATATTGACAGGGCTTATTGTCTTGGCTCATGATCTGGGCACATGATCCGGGCACATGATATGGGCACATGGTATGGGGATTGATTTTTGAATCAAATGAATCGAAATCAAGCTGGGGATATAAAGATTTGCAACACACAACACATGACATAAATCACTCGACATATAAGAAGCACTATTTTCAGGTTTCTTTATAAGAAATTAAACATTTTGAAATATTAGTGTTTTTATATAAATGCCCACGACAATTTAGCTAGCTCTGCGTCATACGTTTGTTTGGTTTTGATTGGCTCCTTGATAAACGCTGACTATCTTTCTAGAGATTTCAAAATAAAATGTGTTTTTATGGTGACAAAACTACCCTCCCCTAGGGGGTAGGGTGGGGAGGAAACCAAGAAATTTAAGTGACTTGAAATTTGAAGAAAGGGTATATTCTCAGTGACATCAATATTTGCCCTCACCCCTCTCTCCCTAAGTGTATTGATTACCTTGTAGGGTAGGGTGGGGACAAGTTGCCCAATCATGTACATAGTTTAGAAAAAATCTAGATTACGCTAATTGATATTTTTATCTTATTAATTTTATTGCTTCATTTTGCCAGTAGCTTGTAATTAACTTCAATCTCCAGATAGATATATTTAATATTAAAAGTATTCATGATTTTTAAAATTATTTATGAGTATTTTTACGGACTACTGCGGCGAGCAAGAAGAAGAATGCCGGGTTTCTTGGGATGCCTGTGACCCCTAATAGGAAATCCTTGTGGTAACGTTTTAAAGATAGGTTCACATTGACTATCAGTTCGCCCCGCATGGAATTGTGGGGCTGTTTAGATCTTTTCCTCATACTAGATATGAGACACCAAGCAACCCAAGCTCCCATTAAATGAGAATAAAGAAAATACAAGGTGATGTCCATAGTTCCATGCAAGATCGATAATCTCGTTACCAGTCTTTAAGATAAGGGCAAGTGAAAGACGTTGTGTGGGTTGCCTGTGCGTTCTCATGTAAGACTAAGTTCGATGAAGTCCTTCTTTTATTAGACTGATTACAGAATCTAAGAAAATATTCCAGGATTCTGCTACATCTGTTGTCCATTCTGATCCAAGATATACCATGAATGTTGTCTTGATACATTTACAGATTTCCTCCAACTGTCAAAGAAAACAAGTATTGCATAAGTTCTCTCTCAAATCGGCGTCATGACACCTTTTTCTTGTTTCATCCCCTAAACTTTGCCACCCCTACCCCACCCCCACCCCCTCTAGCTTATACCCAGCTAGTAATATTATTTCCATGCAATAGACCTCCTTACGATGGACGTAATATTCCAGACCATTTCAGACCATGCGTCATTAAATAGGGCTTTTAAGTTGTGACGTATTTCCGGGTCCAGTCACACAAAAGATCCAGAAAATTTTGCACAGCTTATTCCCAGGATTTATTCTCTACCTTTAACAATTAGATATATGAAAAAAAAGTCCTGCTTTGAAGAAAAAAATCAGAAAAATGTCTGTAGAAGTAATCATTTATTTGGACCCGGAAGTCGTTTTTCGTTCGAATTACGTCACACTTAACAGCTCTATCGAGAATACGATTCTTCGTTCGAGTTGTATACATATTCATGTGTCTTCTCATGCGCAAACATTAAACAAAGAAATGATACTCTAGGTAATGACACGTAGATTGAAATGGAAAAATGTTACGCCAAAGCTATGAACCCGTCCACACTAATGCGTTTCGGTTTGGAAACGAAGGGTATACCTTTCGATGCGTTTTGGCTTTGCGTTCACCTAAAATGATCGAAAATCCATACAATTGAAAACACTCTCCAGAGTGGAGACATTTAAAAGCGGAGGCCTATTGTATTAGTGTAGACAGGCGAAAACAAAGGCTTTTCAAACAAACAAGGCATTTTCTCTTGGATACTGAGGTCATTCAGACCGTCACGTCTAGATCTGCTTTTAGTCTTACGCGCAGATGATATTGCTTAATTTCTGGTCATATCTGCGTGTTTGCTCGTTTAATTCAGTGTAAACGTATGAACACGGTATGATAACCGTGTAGACACGAACCATTCGGTGCGTCGTTTTTTCGGTGAGTGAGACAAGGCCTAAACGAGACTACTCCTTTACTCTTACATGTAATGGTTTTGGCTTGATCTGCCTGTATCTATGCCTTCTCCCCAGTTCCAGTAGGTATTCAATCATACTATCAGGATCCTCTAACGAGGTGACCGCATTCTCCACCACCTTCATGACTCTCTTTGTGTGTCCGTGGAGAGACCTCTCTGTCTTTAGAGTTTCTAGTTTGACGTTACGAAATTCGGGAAATACTTGTTGAAGCGATGGAATTGCTTCAAAAAGACTAGTGTAGAAATGAAAAATAAATAAATGATGGTGATGATAATGATGATGATGATAATAATATTGACTGAAAAACAGTACACCGAGAATCTGTGTGAGGTTTCTCCACTGATTCAAGGGTTTTTCTCGTGGTTCTCCGGTTTTCTTCCCTTCAAAAACCTAACACGCTTAATTGCTATGATTTAGCACTGAGTCTGTGAGTTAGAAGCCATGCCCTGACTTAGATCAGCCCAGAGGTCGTTTTAGCGTTCGATCTGTGAGTTAGCCGTGACCTGACATAGATCAGCCCAGGTATTGTTTCAGGGTTCGATCTGTGGAGTTAGACGTGCTCTGGCTCAGATCAGCACAGATATTATTTCAGGAATATCGATGCCGAAAACTTTGAAGTTTATTTATTTATTTTTTTCAAAAGATCTCTCTTCAGATTTTCACCTTTCGATTCGCACGCAAATCTTCGTCTTTTCTTTTTCATGAAAAGGTAAAAAAAATTATAGATAAACCTACGTTCTTGATATTCTCATTTTCTAACCGTTTAAATATTTCGTTCACGATATAAATATAGACCTTAATATCATTTATTTCTCTTAGATTATTGAAGGATATAATGTTTTAAAACAATAGCAAGAATATAATGGGGTCTACATCACTCCCGGCCGAAAACTTCCTTTCTTGTGGCAGTAGTATAAGTTCAATATCGGCGAAAAACGTGACTCGAAACACGTTCTCTCCCTCTGTTTTATTTTCTCTTAATTTGTATTGTTATTCAATAGGACTGAGATAACCCGAATGAAATCTTAAAACTTAGATTAAGAACAAGGACACAACGGAAGAAGATTGACACATAGTCTAGCTTAGTCTAGATCTTCGTCATAAGATAGCCTAAAAAAAGAAAAAAATCCGTGCGGTTCTATGCAGTGTTGGTACTATTTTTGCACTGGTATAAGAATGAATGTGGCGTGCACTTTTCAAACAATATTTGAACTTTTTTAGGACTGTTCAAGGTCATTCAAAGTCATTCAAGGTCAAAACATTTAGTACAAAATTCCGTGAGGTTCCGGCTACGTGCTTGGCAAAAAATCAAAAATATATATTTTTTAAAAATTTAATTATCAATCAGACCTTCTTTTTCTTTTGTTCAAATATCATTTTTTAAAATTAATTGATGTTTTTGATGAAGGTTTTAGGTAATTAAGTCTCTTTCTCACTTCGCAGAGTTTAAACCTCAAGAGCTAGGTTGTCGCATTGTTTTCTTATCGTTGAAACCTTTTCATTTATCTTTCTTTCTATGTAGTTTCTATCAGACAATCAACTTCATGAAATGCAGAGCGTATTGCACTTGTAAATGAACATCACGTTCATTGGACGATAACTGAAGCGATTATACGAAATCTGCTTTCAAAACGAGCACAATATACCAATGATGAAGGAAAAAATGGATTGTAAAATTCAAGCGCATTATTTTCAGGTTTTTTTTTTTTTTTTTTCATCTTTCTTCAATTTTTTAAAATTTGAGTATAATTTGGGGTTTGTTTGCTATAGCGACGAGCAGAATGTGTGTGCGTCTCTCTTTTTTTCTGTCTTTTTCTTTTAATTTCACATTTTCATATTTATATTTTGTTCATCTCAATATAGAAAACTGCAAGCCAAACAAAAGTGTTCGCATAGGAGAGTAAATATACCATATTTCGCTTTCTTTTGTTTTGCAAGCTCGAAAAAAAGCTAAACCTTAGATTCATCAAATAGAAAAGTAATGGAAGTCTTGTTTAGAGAATTTTTAAAAGCTCTAACTGCACAATTTTAATTAATCTACATTTTTCCAAAAAAGACTAATATTTATTTTTTCCTGTCTAATTTGGAGTAACAGAATTTAAAGAATTAACCTTTAAAAAATAGAAGTTTCTAGGTTGAATATATAATCCTTAGTACTTGATTTCCTTTTTTATAATTGTCCAAAAATATCGCTATAATCATTAAACGTATTAAATTTGGACATTTTAGAGACCCTACTTTGAAGTCCTCATTTTAGCCTCAAGGCTATCTATGAAAATGCAATTTGCTAAATCAGTTTTTTGGCCTCCGGAGTTCATGTTTAATTCCATCATAAAAATAAACACTGCATTTTAGAGTCCCTTCCCGCCACATTTGCTTCTTACCTCAAGAATATCTGGACTCCTAGTTYATTCTTCTTTGGTTCTAAAAGAAGCCAAGTTGATTGAACGATTTTTTTCTGTTTTGGAGAAAGAGCGATGCTTCTGCTGCCATAAACCGACGAACTGCAGGCTATTTTTTTGTTTTCCAACGATGATGAGCAACCCATTGGAACGCTATGGCGTTTTTACTCTTAATGATAATGAGGACTTTAAGCAGTGCGCTTGCAATAGGATTTCTGTTCTGTGAGCTATAAATCAGTGCACGTTTAATACGATTTTTAAATCATTGCTGATTTCCGGTTTTTAACACGTGATTATCTCTGGTTTACATTAATGGGAAATGAATAGAAAGCATTTAGAGTGGTTATAATTAATTGCATTATCATCGTTTCCTCTTGAAAAGAAATTTCGGCTTACGATCTTATGGAAAAAAGGCGGGAAATTTGCTGGCGGACGCGTCTGTTAATTATCTGTTCGACATTTAAATGGCTTTCGCATTTCAAGCATCGTGAAAGGGTTACTTTTTGACGTTTTTAATTGGTTTATGGTTAGAAAATCTAAAATAAGAGCACGTAGGCTGCATGTTGGTCTTCTTGGAGCATTCTGGGAGCTATCGCTAACGTTTTTTAAAAGAGACCACGGAAAAAAGATCATAGTTGTTGGACAGTAGGGTATGTGGCGAAATGATAGCTCAAGAAGAATCAAATCTTTTTGATGAATGATGATAGTTGGAAGCCGCCTAATTGATAGTTTCGTTAATAATATGACTTCCTTTTCTCACTGCAGTAGCCAATAATAACAGTTTGGCGTTGCATCATAGCTACAATGAAGAGTGTATTCATATTTTTCATTATCAAAATCTTTGTAAGATCCTGTGCGGGATATAGGAAAAGACAAGGTCACAGCTCACTATTGTAAACAGMTACAGTATTCGCTCTGAAACCTAAAATAACCTAATAGACCTTTCCCAAGGCCTGATGCACATGAACTAGGCAACGAGTCCCGTTTAGGGGACGGAAATAGCCGCTATCTAAGAAATATGTTCCCTAAAACAGCCCCACAATGAACTACAATGCTTGACCCAGTTTTTCATCAATATTTGTTTGCCTGTCTGTATGTATCCATGTTGAACCACTGGTTTGTCGGTTTTTCGATCGGTCACAGTGTCTTTCTGTCTGACTGTCTGTCTGTCTGACTGACTGACTGACTGACTGACTGACTGTATGTCTGTTGTCTGTCTGTCTGTTTGTCTGTCTGTTTGTTTGTCTGTCTGTCTGTCATTTTTTCCATGACAACCAATCGTATAATTGATGGAAATATCTTCGAGTTAAAATAAAGTATCATTCATTCATTCTGTCTGTCTGTCTGTCTGTCTGTCTGTCTGATGCCTGTGTGGCTGTCCGTCTTCCTGGCTCCTAGATCTCTCTTAGCTTGTCTTTCTTATATCTAGTAATCTTTCATTAAAAAATTATTATCTCCAGACGACAAAGAAGTAGTTCTAGAAGGACTGTCAGTTCTGTCAGTTGCTTTGCTTCCTGGAATAAAAACATGGGGAAAAATGGTATCATCTTAAAAAAGACGAGTCTAGATCGGTATTCCAAGCAGTACGTGTTGGTAGGGATTATGATAGTAATGCGGTACAACTTCGATATGWGCATGCACACATTAATCCTTTATTGTTCTTCTATTGTTATTGCGTCGTTTTCAAAAGACTTTTACAAACTAAATAAACTGAACAGAAAAGTTTAGGAGGAAAGCAGAAAGCACTTTATAATATCTACTAAAACGATAGAAGACACGGCTGAGATGTGTCATAATCGACAGAACAAGAAAGTGCAAGGTCGCAGCTCAGGTCAAACATCGAACTTCACATGAGCTGAACTTTATAACATCAAAGAAGACCGCCTTGTTATCCATTGTTTAATTTAAGAGAATAAGATTCCCGCCAAGGGCATTTGATATTTTTCTCTTATTCTCTCTATTTCATCATACACACCGAACGCATAATTTATTACTACTATACTATTATGTTTAATTTGGTTCGGCTGAACCTAAGAAGATCTAACCCAAATCATAGTTTATGGAGCGGAAACCAGTATTTTCAGTCATACTTGCTTTGGTTCATTGTGCACGGTCAGTATAACGTGATGGTACGGTTCAAACGCGAAACAATACTTTTATTCTGTGGAGTTTTCAAACCATTGCGCTCCACTAACTATGCCCAAATGGATGAATACAATAGAGTGAAGTAACTAAACCCGTGAAATAGATATCATAAGCTAATACACATTGGTAGACCCTTTGATTCCATTCCATTTTCTTTTATGTCTATATATTTGACTATTACACGTTGACTCACATCTTCTATTTCACGGAATAAATGATTTCACTCTAGAACGAGATAAAAACAATATACACTTATTTCAATAAAGTTAGTCACCAGRAAAGCTACAAAGCTGAGACCGACAAGGATTATGGGTAGATACATTTTACATGTTTTAACCGCTTGATAACTGTCGATGGACTTGAAATCTTCTACCAGTTACAAGTTCACCTCCTATGAGCATCCTCAACTGCTGCAGTTTGTGTCAAAAGAGTTGTCAAAAGCTTTACTTGTTGGATATAAAGTATTTCCCATGATTCTCAGCGATCACGGCTTTCTAGGTTTTTGTTGACTAACTTTATTGAAATAAGTATACACGACTGTGTATACGAAACAATGGAACGAGTCGACAATGAAAACTATTCGTTTGGTTTGCACAATCTCGACAGCTCTACTCAGCGGGTGCGGCATTACTGCATCTTGTTCCAACAACAACAACAACGTTTTATTGTACCTAGAATTACATTCGTATTTACAAACAAAATTACATAACTATAAGTACAGGCCCTAACTAATAACTATAAAGTTAAGAATGCGCTAGGACCCCTAGTCATTAAGATTATGGCAGATGATCCGTGTAGGGGTCAATTATTCCCAGGAGAATAACTTAACAAAATGGATACGGCAGCCAGGTCGATATAAAACAAGAGCCCAGGGAAGCGAAAATCGTGCTTGATTACAAAGTACCTGTAATATCTGTGTTGGTGGGCGTTTTCCTCTGGGAATCGAAAATCTGMTATGATTGGCTGCTGTAAATTCTCAGTAGACCAGATGTACCGCGCAAAACACAGGCATAAACCTTCAAATAGCTTGTTTCCCATCACTCGTAAATTGCCTGCCACCAAGCAACACCTCTTTTTGTTGCAGTAGGAACAAATATCAAAACTTGTGGACGAACACAGGAT